AGGCAAAATAAGTTTCTCTAGAATGTTTTAAAATAGTACTTTCTGGAAGAGGCTGCAACTACCACCACACTGCAGTTAACATTCAGTGCACATTAGAATCACCTGTGCTTTTTAAAACTTATGGTCCCATACCAAAAGTTCTGATTGACTTGATCAGGGTGGGGCTTGTTCTCAGGTGATGCAAATTATGGAAAAGCTTGAGAGACTGATTTGAACCTTTACCAGCACAAATCTTTATAAACATTTAGAATACGCAAATATCGTATTTTCCTTCTTCTAAAATTACTTGATTCCCACTATACCGACCCTTTATCTTTTTCAGAGATTAAATTAAGTTCAGTTGATATGTCTTATCCCTGGTAGACTGCAAAAGACCTGAAGTGACACTACACTTTTTCTAAATTACTTTTACATGATTCTATGCCTCAGAAGTAATAAAGAGAGTGGTGGGGATTAGGGTTCTTTACCCTATATACACACATTAGAGTATCTGGAGAGATTTTACAAAATATTATTGCCCCGAAGTTACATTATGTTCTTAGAAGTTAGAAACGTGGTACTATTAGGGGATGAGGGGAGAAGTAACCAGAACAGCACAAGAGGGAGACTTCTGGGTAACGGTAATTTTCTGTTTCATGATCTGCGTGATGGGTATATGGGTGTATTAAGTTTGTAAAAATACACCAACCTATATATTTATGATATGTGCATTATAAAATACAGCTCATACAAATATATCCTGAATGTACATTACACTTCAATAGAAAGTTAACAAGTTAAAAAGGACATGCCCAGGCTTCACTGCAGACCAAGTGATTCAGGATCTTTGGGAGTGGCCTGGGTGTCAGTATTTCTTTTTTAACATTCCTCCAGTTAATCTAACATGGAGTCAGCAGTAAAAACCATGCCTCTAATGAATCACAAGTGTTTTCATTCATCTACTCACCCACTCACTACACAAATCTTAATGAACAACTGCCATATACCATATGCTTATTTTACTAGACTCAAAAGACTTAAAGGTAAGTAAGACAGTCTCTGCAGGAGCTCACTCTAAACACAGGAAGCGGGCAAACCCGTAAACCTCATGTGATAAATACAAGCAAGGTACTTAAAAGGTCTCGAGGACAAAGTGATTGGTCAAAGGATTCACTCACTTTTTTTGTTCATTCATTTATATACATGTCAGCCGCCAGAGGCTGGAGAGGGATTCGAGAAGGTGAGCTGCCCAGCTGGAAAAAGGCGCGAGAAGCTGACATAATGCGTGAGGAGCCGACATGGAGCAGACCAGCACTCCACCGCAGTACAAGCGAGCGGCTCACGCGCTCAGGCGTCTGCACTCACTGGTCCTTTTATTATGCCCGTGCATGCGTATTGTTCAAAATGCGTACTCATGCTATCAGCGCATGCTTACATGTACTTCTTACCCCACACACATGCAAGTTATTGTGAACTTTAACCTGGGTCCCACGACCTACTCACTTAAGACTGCGACAATACATATTTGGGAACCTGTGATGTTTGACCATGGATAAATGGACCCAATCTCTGCCTTCAAGAAAATTACAGTACAAGGGTACACAAAGAAGAAAAAAAAGGTATAACCTGTTGTCATACTGACCATCACAGAAGTGTGAGAAAGGTGCAACAGGAATACCCTGGGGAGTCAGAGAAGGTACTACCAAGTTGCTGACCCTGGAGGTAAGAGGACATAAACTTGAACTAGTCCAGGAGCCCTGGTGGTAAATATTAGTATTCTAGAGGAGTGCTTCTCAAACTCTCCTAACGTATAAATCACCGGAAATCCTATTAAAATGCAGAGGCTGATTCAGAAAGTGTGAGGTGGGGCCTGAGACTCAGTATTTCTGAAAAGATTCCAAGTGATATTAATGCTATTGGTCCACAGGTCACAATTTAAGTAGAAGGTTTTTGAGGAAGATGGGTTTTCAAGAAGGAAAAGACCAAAAAAAAAAAAAGAAAGCCAAATTCCATAGCAGAGACTAAGAAAAACAAAAATTGGAAAGCAGCCATTAGATTTGTCAAGGAGGTAGCCTTAGTGAGGAGTTTTAGGGGGTGATGAGGGAAAAGCTAGAAGATGTATATGTAGAAATAAATGGGAACTAAGGTGGTGGGGACAGGAAATAAAATAAGAGGTTTTGTTTTTACTCTTAAATGCTCCAAGAGGCTCAAGTCTATGCACAAGCTGAAGGAGGAATGAGTGAAGAGGGAAAACTGAAGACAAAGGAAAGAGGATGGAATAATTTTGAATGGGTAGAAAGATTCTCAGCTTTAAAGAGAAAGAAGAAAAGGGGATAAAAATTAGTCTGAAAGGGTAGAGAAAAGGATAAGAATTTCTCTTGTTTCATGGCACAAGCAGCCAGGTGACCTGATGAGAGAGTGAATTTAGGTTTAGAGGAAGCACCCAGGAACAGGTAATGAAGAAGCATTGGAGGCAGAGCAGAGGTGGGACTTGCACTTGTCTGTGTGATTCTGCTCAGCAGCATCCAATGGTCAGTATAGGCTTAGAGAAGGGGAATGGATAAGAAACAGAGTGAGACTGATAACATTTTGAAAAGGAAGGAGGCAAGGGACAGAAATCCTTAAGAAGCCTTAAGTACAGTGAGAGGAAAGAAAGGGGAGAAGAGCGAAGAACTTTGGATTTTTCCTTATTGAACCTCTAAGTATTTTTCAACAGAACATTTAGGGAAATATTCTACTCCATGAAAATTTGTTGGAAATATATTGTTAAATATCATTCCCCAACTTACATATTAAGTACTCGACAGATCTGCTCATAGGTTTAACATCCCAAGTGATAAACAACTTCAACATAACTGATTCCAGATGTTGCTTTACCAATAGAAGCAATACCACCAATTTTCAGTAAAATTATACTTTGAATGGCTCCTTGCCTAAAAGGCTGGTAGGCTAGTCTAGTCCCTGATCCTACTACTTGAATCAGAAAATGACCTGAGGATAACAAGAATATTCAAGCACATCCAGACGAAAAGTTTGTATACACCAAGAGCACTGCTTTTTGAATACGTAATGATTTCATACTGACATCCTATTTGGCTGGCAGCTATACCCATTATAATTCAACTTAGACTGAGCAGTAATTTTCCTTTAAATATAATTATCCTTTCTTACCACATTACAGTTTTTTAAGACTCTTAGAGGTTTTTTTGTTTGGTTTTTTTTTTTTAACATAAAATTAACTTGAGACTTCAACTACAGTGAAGCTGGTATAACTGACCAAAAGCACTAATGATTTTGGTAATTTTTTGTACTCTAAGTAAGTGGTCATGAGACAATCATAGAAGTTTCTAGACAAGAGACAAAAAATTGTATTTTCCTTTTGAGATTCTGTACTTTCTCCTCTATCCTGACCTTATTTTTCTTTTATTTCTCTTTGTAGGTAGGAGAGACAGGATGAAAGAGGGAGAGAGGAAGATGTGAATATTGAAAACCTGGGCAAAGAGGGGAAGAGTTATAAATGGATGTTTGGTGTTCCCACAGTTTACTAAGGCAAATTTATCCAAATAAGCTTTATTTAGTTCTTATAGAAAATTGCTAAATTTTAAGTTATATTAATTATAGGGTATACAAGTATTTGGAACTGTCTTAACACCAAAAGAACAGAGTAGAGTTGAGAATTTAAAAAGCACTTAAACATGACAAATTTTTGGTTCATCTATTAAAAACTCAAAATGTATTTTTGTCACATTATAAATGAAATCTTTAAAAATTCATTGTTCTTAAAAATCAGCAAATGCATGTCTTAAATGAGAGAGAGATAAAATATCTTTGATTATATCTGATAAGAGGCCCTCAGCTCCATGTATGTATAAGCATATACATGATCAACAAAATCTTCAGGCAGTAGTGGCCCGAAGTTAATCTACTATATTAAATTATTCAATGGTGATTACTTGAGTATCAGGTGAATGTTGCTGGGAAAAAGATATTTAAGGTAACTTCTAAGTACCATTTCTGAATGCGAAGGTTATATCATTAGCAGAAATTTCCGAGAATTACTTTTCTAGTTACATAAACAAAAAAAAAAAAATTGAGGGAGCTAAGTGATGACAACATGGAAATGCTTTTCATTTTTAAGTTTTTCTGATGAGGATGGGAAACAATGAAAAAAAGAATGTTGTTTATATATAGCTAGGTCTATTTTATCCCCAAATGTAGGCCATCCAAAGAAAACAAACACTACTATTTTTAAAGCGGTATTATTTAAAATATATACCATAAAAGTTGTAATAATAGAGTTACAAAGGAGAGTCTTTCAATTAAGCTGAATTTCAGGAGAATAAAATGTTGAGTCAAAAACTTCAACCACTCTTTACCATCAGACATTTGCTGAGATTTCTTTTATGATACCACTAAGATTAGGAGAGACAGATAGTATAAATCAGACTTGAAAAGACATCAGTATTTTCAGGCCCACACATTTCTTACCAGTTTTGACAGACTTTACTCACCTAAATCGGAGGACATCTCCTTCTCTTCTATACCATTACTTTACTGCTTTCTGAGGGGGAGGTAATTAGGTGTCTTTATTGATTTCCGCTGGGAGGAGGTACCAAGGACTGAACCCGGGACCTCTTGGGTGCTGAGCATGCGCTCTACCACTTGAGCTATACCCTTCTCCCACCATTACTTTACTTTTCTTGTTGGTTTTAAACAAATAGAACCTTCCACATCTAGCTAATACATCTCTTTCCCCAAATATAAGACATTTTAGAGGCTTTTAATGAAGACATCAGAAACAAATGAAGTTGAATTTGACTCATAGAGTACTGCTGTGATTAAAACTGGTCTATTTGCTTTTAGGCCTCCAAGTGGGCTAATTTAACACAACTGATACATATATCAAATGTTAAGAAAATAGTATTTTAGAAAATAAATTGGAAAGAGGACTCAATCTTAATTTAAAGTAAAGAACAAGAAGACAAAAACTCTAATACCGGGAAGCGCCATGCCTGCCTTACCTGCGGCTAACTGATTTCTTCCCCACTTCACCCTCTCCAGCTGACTTAACATTTGCACTTGTGTCCTTTTTCAACTTCTTTGCAATTCTCTCTCTCATCAGGTTCTTCTCATCACCATCAGCATATTCCTCATGCTCCGCACCTTCACAGTCTGCATCCTGCAAAAATTGAAATGGAGGATTTGCTGGGCAATCCATTCTCCCCCTTCACTTCCAGAGGTCCATCTCAGACTCTCCTCACTGCATTCTCAGCCAGGTTTACTTATGTTTTGTTTAGTTTTGAATGAGTAAGGGCTTGAAGAATTGGCTGCAGGTGGGAATACCCCTTGGGGTCTGCTGTAGGCCAGCGAGGTAAGTACAGCAGGACCCAGGAAGGATTGTTGCTCAGTCCACACCCAGCCCCTCTGCGCGGCACAGACTGTGCTCACTCTGCGTCCCCCAAGATACTGTGGCCATCTACATCCCTACTCTTTTCCCAGTGGGAAACGTGGCTTCTGGAGGCAGTTGGCCAGCATACTGACCTCTCCCAGGGACTAATTCAGGTAAAAGAGGTGGAGATAGAGGAGCTGAGATTTCTTCCTGTAATTTAAGTCATAGCAATTACTTCTCTTCTCAAAACCCTCCAGTGGATGCCCAATTCACTCAAGACCGTATACAATCTGTACCTCCCTGACGTGATCTCCTAGATGCCAGGGTGGCAACACTAGCCAACTCTAGAGCTGCTGTTCTCTCCAGCCTGAAACACTCCCACTCCCTGCATCTGCAGCGCTCGCTTTCACCTCCTGCAGGTCTCTGCTCAAATATTACTCTCTCAGTGATACTTCTCTTGATCCCCCTATCATGGCAGAACCACCTACTTACCTCCAGTACTTTCTATTCCCCTTTCGTGTTTTTTATTTCCTCCAAAACATTTACCACTCATCTGATTTACTATATATTTTAATTATTTATGTAATGATTGTCTCTCTCCCATAACTAGAGGAAGTACTCCGTGAGAGCTAAAATTCTGGACTTTTTGCTCACTGCTGTATCTTCAGCTTCCAGAACAGCTCCCAACATTAGTAGAGAGAGGAAAGGAAGGAGAAAGGAGGAGAGAGAGAGAGAAGAGAGGACAGAAGAAGAAAGAAACTACCCCAAGTGGAACTTCTCGTGTAATTCTCTGAGCAGGTGAGCCATGGTGAGACAGGATTCTTAACTTGAGGTATGTGGACCCTAGAGCAGTGGTCCTCAAAGTCTAGTCCTCAAACTATAAAACATGGATTGTTTGTTTAAAAATATAGAATCTTAGCTCTCATCTCAGTCTTACTGAACTAAATCTCTAGTGATAGAAATTGTGAGAATTTTCAGCCAGATGTTTAAGAAATTCTTTAGCCTTAAAAGTTAATAACCACAGACATATGTCTTCCATGCCTGGTCCTCAGGAGATCTAAAAAAATCCCCTGTAAATTCATAAAATTTTGTTTGTGGATATCATATATTTCCCAGAAGAAGGTGCCCAGTTTTAGTCACTGCAAAGGATCTAGGACACAAAACAGATTGGAGACCACACACTATTCTTAGGTGACCTCACCCCCACCAAGACCATAAGAACATATCAATCAGTTTACATCAGGCCTCGATCCTATCTTCCAGACCCATATTAATGTTATACAGATTCTTTCAAGTTAACTGAATCTCAAAATGCACAAAATTAAGCACATTATTTTTCATGTCTCACCCCACCTCAAGCCTAACCTTTCTTTTGTACCCACGTAACAAGTTGCCCAAATCAGAAACCCTGTGATTGTCCTAGACTCCTACTTCTCCCTCACCTCAGAGAATGGAATCCATCACCTCTTAGACCTCTTTTAAGTCTCTCTCTCTCCCATCTCACAGCTGTGGTCTTCTATCAAGTTCTCCTCTTGCCATAGCTTCCCGATAGGGCTCCTTGACTCCAGTGTGTTTCATCCAATTTCTCCTCTATCATGTTGCCAACCGTGATCTTCCTAAAATGCACAGTTGACTACTGCACTCTTCTTTTTAACTAATCCCCTTCAATTGTTCCTCATTACTTTTAGGGTGAGATTTAAACTCCTCCCCATAGCCTGTGAAGCTCTCTAATATTTGGCTTCTCCCTACCTCTCCAACCTCAACTCACTCTCCCTCCTGTCACTACGCTCTGGTCACACTGGTCTGCTTTCAGCTCCTGGAACACATCAAACTCACTCCTTCTTCAGATCCTTTTTGCATGCAGTTCCCTCTACCTTTAACACTCTTCCTCCCTGCTCTTCACAAGGCAGGCTCCTCCTCAAACTTTAATGTTAGCTTGGACTTCCTAAATAAGGTATAATTTCTACTTGTCACCATGTTTTAACATGTGCTGTTCTCTGAGATAGAGGAATCCCACCCTTCACCAGTTTCTTTTTTGACTTAGTTAACTCCTAATTCTCCCATAAGACACAACACAGCATCATTTCTTCCAGGAAGGTTTTCTTGACCAGGTTAAATAGCCATCCTTTCTCTATTATACATGGTGAGAGGGAACCCTCTCTTTTGACCGTGGTAATAGATGAAGCTGCGTTCATGCATGGACACTTACGTACTTCCTTCTGAATTACTACAATACACAGATCAATGGGTTCTTACATAAAGCGACAAATGTATGACCTGAAAAACTTGATCTCTCATATATAAAGGAAACCCTGCCTTCTGTTTTATCAGCTTTAACAGCCAGTACAACTAATGAAGAAAAATCACTAGAGTCTCGAGAGAGAATCTTCTGAAATGTGTGTATAAAGAAGGAATGCTACTATAAATGACTGATCCAAGAGTTTCCCATACATCATGTAAGATGGGGCATCTATGTTTTAACTAGATCAAAACATAATAAAATAAAATCAATGACATCTAAATTTTGAGTATTCAAATAATGTCAAGTGAGGAGAAAAAAATAGGCTAGAAATTCATATATAAGATTCCAATTTTGTAGGGAAACACACGCACATACGTATACTTGGAAGGAAAATTTCAATACCAAAATAATTTAGTTTTCAAATCTTTCAATTTTTTTCAAAATTATACACATATAATTATAAAAGTTTACCTTTTTACCTTTTAAGGAAAAAACTACCTTTTGTAAAAAACATTATGTTTAAGGAAAAAATAATTTAATCTTTCATAAAAACCTTGAATTGTCTATAAATTGTTCAACTATATTTATACTAAAATTAATACTCACATCATTTAAATCTCCTGCTGCATCCCCCTTTTCACTACAAAAACAAGAAAAATAAGCAAATTTTAGCTTTTAAATGAGACTAACAAAATTACTCAGTTATCCAAAAATTTAGAATATTTTGCTGAGACTAATAGTTCAAAAACACTTCAACATAGAAATTTTCAGAATAGCATTGTAGAGCAAATGGAAACATTCTAAAAGGAAGTTGTTTTTATAAATAGAATAAAAGGTATGCTTCATTAGGACATATATGAATTCACTAGAATTCTTTAAAAAAAGGAAACAACAACCAACAGTGCTATTTTTATGAACAAAGGGCTGCAGAAAACAATTTCTTCTATTGGCTTGATGTATTCTGGCTGAAGAAGCCAAATCCTTCAAATACAAGGACATTAAGAAAAGACTATTCTGAAATAGTTTTTGAAAATGACCTAAACTCAGTACAATAGTATTTTAGTCCCCCTTTGAGACATTGGCCCAGTATATCATGTGTAGTTACATTCAACAGTAAGACACCTTCCTTTTGCAAAGAGAAGAAACAAAAATAGTAAGAAACTTTTCTGATAACTCCTAAAATATGTAAGAAATAATACTCAGTGAACTGGCCCAAAATGTAGCAACTTCTTCACAAAACCCTTCAAATCTAATTTGCTTACCCATGATTCTGAGACAAAAATGATTCAAGGAAAAAGTTAGCAATGCAAATCTGAATTAACCATTAAACTGTTAAAGCAGTTTCCTAGTATTCAAACAATCCCAAGATTTAAAAGTTTAACAATTGATTTTAATTAGTTCAACAGAGGTAGCGAGCAAGAAGAGTGAAAGTGACTAGAGTGGTTCTCCCCAGTATGCTGGAAGCTCTGCTGCTATTGTCACCAAAATGCTTTAGTTCTTTAGTTAGGTTGACAAAATTTGACTTATGAGAACTGACTGTTTACTTACAGAGGAAGCAAGAAAATTATCTGAGCCAGAAAATAACTTAGGATCACACGAGCACCATACTAACCTTTCAACAGCTGGGACAGAGCTGAGATGTGGATCATCCTTAAGCAAGTCATGACTACTCTTGCTTTTTCCCTTCATGCTCTAGAAGGGAATGTGTGATATAATCATGAGTGGGGAAAAAACAGTCTTCCAAAAGGACAAGTTAGCAAATTTGCATAACATCTAGTACTGACATACTGTGGTTAGCAAAAGGTATATGGCTCCTAAAAATTTCAGTATCAACTGAAGCTTTATAAGTAAGAACCTTATTCTTCCATTGACCAAAAATATTTTTAGAAATACCTTTTATTTCAAAAGGCTATATATCCTTTAAAATAAGTTTACTGATTACTATTTCCAAATACTAAATCCTTATTATGATTTACAACTAAACTAATTAATTTTAGTCCCATTCTTCACTGTTTAACAATTTTGAGAACAGGTTTCTAAATTTGATAGGCTTTACTTTGAGGCAAATGCATCAATTCTGAAATTTATTTCCATGATGAAAATAATAGATTTTTAAATTTCTGTATGAACATGGAGTTCACGTTTCAAAGACCTCATCAGTTTAAACATGCTTATAGTCTATTTTCACAAGGCAAAACAAACTTTTCTCAGTTAATCTAAAGATGCTATTTATCTACAGTTTTAAAAAGTCAAAGAATCTGAATTATGCAATTAATCTGTATTTCTACCTTACACACACCAAGGAGCAATTAAAAAAAAAAAGATAAAACATCAAGTAATTACTTGGTAATACATTTGTCCAACAATGAATACTGAAAAAAAAATGTTCAAAATCAGAAGATGGTGTAGTAGAAAGAACACAGGGTAAGAAGAAAGGTGATAATTGGGCCAAATGAGTTTCAAAATCTAATATTCAATAATTCTATGGGTTTTAGTCCAGAACTTGTACCATTTGGGGAAAGAAACTTCAGAACCTTTGCCTACAAAATAGAAATAATACTAGCAGCCTTGCCTACTTCATGCAAGAGAGTAAGTGCAGATATGTGCAAAAGCGTACAAGCGAATATAAAGTGACCTCAACTAAAATACAACTTGAACATCTTTTTTTCATGCTTTCCTTCCCTAAAATTTCTTCCTCCTGCATTTCTAGCCATGACTGTTTATTTTCATCTACTCTAAGAAAAATTTTCTTATTAATTCTCCTCATGTGGCTCCCTCATGGAGTCATAATCACAGACATTATAGCCATAGTTGGCTTCAGACCCTCTGGTTAAGCCTCTTAGTTAACAGATCAGAAAATGAGAATTACACTAATAAAGAGCAGGAGTAAGATTAGAATTCAGGTCTTTAAGTTAGCCCATTAATAAGCTACACTATTTCATTTACTTGTTAGTTTACAGCTGTTAGTTTAATTAACATTTTTAAAATGGGTTCTTATTTATCTCCCAACACTTAAATCAGCTTGAAGGGAAAAGAAGAAACTTGCCTTACATTAACTTAAAATAAGACTTAACAATAGGAGGAAACTGAATTAATCTGAAAAATCATTACTATTTAAAATTTTAATTAACTTTTTAAGTTAAATTAGCATAGAAATGTATGATCAAAAGCAATTTTTCAGATGGCCCTTCCCACTATAGTAGACTTTGAATCCTGCTGGCAGAGAAAACAAATTATGAAAGAACTGAAGAAATTTGGAGATAGTCTCAAAGGGTGTAAAAATGAATTCAGATATTTCTCTTTTATGTCTGTTCTTTCTGAAAACCTATTTTAAGGTTCTTATTTATGCCATCAGGTAACAATAAATTTAGAGGAAACAAAAACCTAATATATTTAAAAATAATTTTAGAAAAAATTACATAAAAGTCACTGGCTAATTAAAAGGTTCAGGGGCCGAACAAAATACTAAATATACTTAGTGAATACAGTGTAAGGAGCTCTGTAGTAAATTCAAAACTATCTGTAAGCAAATCTGAAAATGAACATCAAAGAGGATGTGGGAAAATCACATTATTACTTGGCACTTGATACCTAAGAATACAGAGGCAGTGAAACAGTGGGAACTAAACAGAGTACAAGTAGAAAGAAAAAAAGCAAGAGGCACGGTAGTACCGGGGAACAACACTGGTCAAGAAGTTGGAAGGTCTGGGCCTCAACCTCTAACTATCTCTGTGTTAATTTTATGCTACAGTACCCAGTTGTTCGGTCAAATACCAGTTTAGATGTTGCTATGAAACTATTTTTTAGATGTGATTAATAATTTAAATCAGTAGACTTCAAGTAAAGCAGATAGTTTATCCACCAAAATGTAAGTGGGTCTCATCTAGTCAGTTGAAGGTCTTAATAGCAAAGACTGTTTTCCAAACAAGAAGCAATTTGGCCTTAAGACAGTAACATAGAAACTCTGCCCGACTTTCTGGCCTGCAAATTTTGGACTCAGAACTGTAACATTAACTCTTCCTTGAGTCTCCAGCTTGCTGGCTGGCCTACTCTATAGATTTTAGACTTGCCAGACCCCATAAGCACATGAACCAATTCCTAAAAATCAACCAAATCTATCAATCTCAAACTCTACCTCTCATTACCCTCCCCATGACACACACATACATACATATATATATAAATATATTGTTTCTTTGATGAACCATACCTATTATATTCTGTGACCTTCAGCAGAGAATCAGAAAACTTAACAGTTGGAAAAAAATCATACAGGCCACTTAATCTAGTCTCCAACCCAATGCAGGAATCTCCTTGACATCACTGTTAGTCAACCAGTATCTCAACACTTGAAAGGAGTTTAATACTCTCACACACTCCCACATAAAAATCACCTCTTTTTAGATGGCTCCCACAACTGGACAATTCTCTAACTGGAGGAAAAAAAAAATCTATCCATGTGTAATTTTCAATCGCCTAACCCAGAAACAATGTCTGTTATTAGGTATACTCTGTTGAGTTTAGGTACAAATAGATTGGCAGGCAGGGTAACAGCCCCTAAAGATGCCCACATCCTAATCCACAAAATGTGTGACTGTGTTACTTTACTCGGCAAAAGGGACTTTGTGGATAAATTAAGAATTTTAAGATGAGGAGATTGCCCTGGATTATCAGGGTAGGTCCAATGTAATCACAAAAGTCCTTACAAGAAAGAGGGAGGCAGGGGAGTCAGGTGCAGAGTGATAAAAGATGAGAAAGACTTGACCCGCTATTGTTGGCTTTGAAGATAGAGGAAGGAACCACCAGCCAAGGAACACAGGCGGTCTCTAGAAACTGGAAAAGGTGAAGGAATGGATCCTCCCCGGAGCCTTCAGAAGGCAGGCGGGCCTACCAACACCTTGGTACCTAACCCAGTGAAGCCTACTTTGGACTTCCGCCCTCCAGAACGCTATGATACGAAATGCTTCAAGCCACTAAATTTATGGTAATTTGCTAGAGCAAGAATACAAAATAATACAAATATGTTAACATCTTTTTTAAATTAGTTAAATATAAACAATTAGAAAAATAAGAAAAGTTTAATACAATTTAATGGGGCAAAAATATTTTATAAAATTAAGACTGTTTAATACTCCTGACAACCTCTGTACAAGTGGTCTAGCAGCATTCTCCAGGCCATGCCCAACCCACCTCCCAAATTTGGCGGACACTTTAATTTCATAGGATAAATGAGAATAGGACAAAAATATTCTTATTTTATTCTCGAAAGTGGTATATGTGTCTTTCAGGATAACTTTTTCTGGGTGGGAAAAAAGCCTCTTTATAGCCAACTCTGGAGTTGAGGTTAAAATGTTAATATATCTTATAGTGAGAGAAACACTGTGTATCAATGTGACTGTGACACAATTTGATCACTATTTTCAAATTTAGCTACTGAGATACTTTTATACTGGACCTACCATTTACCTTGCCTCAAGAAAACTACTTGTCTGATTGTAAGCTTTCACTTGAAAAATATTTTCTGACATTTGTAATTAAGTTATACACAAAGGGTCAGGAGTAAACTTAAAACCAATACAGACATTTGAATGAAACTATTATTTAAGAAAGCAATACAAAGGGAGGGATCTTCCAGATAAAAACCTTTCAAATGTTTGAAGCCGAGGATCACATTTTCACTTAGTTTTTACTTCTCCAAAGTATATCAAGTTCCTCAAGCAGTCCCCAAGGAAGATCCTTTTTGGCATCACCCCCATCCTCCTCATGACCCTTCCTTCCTCTGGATGCATCTAATTTGTCAGTATCCTTCTTAAATGTGTTCAGAACTGAACAAAATGCTGAAAATGTGATCCCCCAAAATGCAAAGAATGTTAAATTCCTCATTCCAGAGACCTTACTCTTAATAACTCAACTAGAGCTTACAGGCTATTAAATCTGATGTCTATTCAGCTGATTTCATTAAACCAAAGGACAGAATATACACATACTCCTATTACATTTGAACTTACTAGTTCAAAAAATCAGGCAGAGGTTGACAACAAAGCTCTCTTTGGGCAGAAGTGTTCAGTCAGCTATAAATCCATCTGAGTGTACTATCTCCCAGATCACATTTCCTTGTGTTGTCCACAAGAATAGCATGAGAGACTCTGACAATGTGCTTTCCTGAACTCAAGATATGTTATTACAGCATCCTCCTATCATGCAATCCTATCAAAAAGGAAATGAAGTCAGTCTGGCAAGTCACTTAACCAGAGTCTCAGTTTCCTCATCTATAAAGAAAGGAAGTTGGACTAGATCCCTTTGAGCTATAAAATTCTATTATTCTAAAAGAGATTTTATCAGGTAGTAAGAGATACTGAAATAAATAGTCAAGGAAAGCTAACCTACGTGGGAGAGGCACCTTGTCATGAATACTGAGTAGGGTGAAGCAGTGTCTGTAATCCCACACTGGTAATCCATAAACCAGAGACGACTCGACCTTATTTCTCCTTTCACAGAAAGTAAAGCCTCAATACAGACTTTACCAATTATTAACTTGTGGTGTTAGGTTCTGGAATAAAGCTTAACACTGTGGAGTCACTGAAAAAAGAAATGTGATAAGCAAATAAATAATGAAACAATTATTTTCAAGCCCTCTAGAAATATTTAATTCTATGCAACCACTGAAACTGCAAATTGTTCTTAGTCATTGT